CATATTCATTGTGGCTCTATTTGTAATAGTCAGAAATTAGAAACAGCCTAGATGTCCATCCCCAGATGAATGAGTAAAGAAACTGTGGTTCATTTGCACAATGGAATATTAGTCAGCTATTAAAGGGGAAAAGAGAGTGAAATTCACAGATAAATGGATGGAACTAGAAAAAAACTCGTCCTGAGTAAGGTAACCCAGACACAGGAAGGCAAATATGGTATATATTTGCTAATGTTAACTCTTTAATAAGCAAGCTAAAATTCATATAACCATGGAGGTTAGGTATAAAGTAAGGGACTAGTGGGGAGATGGTGCAGGAGAATTGTCTGTAATCTGTCAATCATATTTTAAATAAATGCTGATTGACCAGGCAGGAAGTATAGGCGGGAAAACCAGATAGGAAGTAGAGGTGATGCAATGAGAACAGGAGAATTCTGGGAAGCAGGAAACTCCCTCCACCATTCCTGCCCAGACCACCGAAGAAGCAACATGTGACCTGACAGCTGAAAAAGGTACCAAGCCATATGGCTAACATAGATAAGAATAATGGGTTAATATAAGCTATAAGAGTTAACAAGAAGCCTGAGCTAATGGGCCAATCAGTTTATAACCTAATGTAGACTCTGTGTGATTTTCTTTGGGACTTGCCGGCTGTGGGGTACCAGGCAGTACAGAAACCCCAACAAGCTGGCCTTCATGTTACAGGGAGAAATGGATCTCCATAGGAAGCGGAAATAAGATGGATGAAGAGGAAGAGGATCAAATAGGGAAAGGGAGGGAGGGACACAGGGGTGACAGAGGGAGTATGAGGAGGGTCGACTAAGGGCTATTTGAGAAGCCACATGAAGAGCTGATGCAGTAGAACCCTCCTAAGATATAAACATGTATGAAAGTGATCTAAATGAAATTGTCAAAAAATAGGGGAGACAGAACCCCAACAGGATATCTCTCATCACCAAATGAAATTTCCAATGCTGGGAATAGATTACTTCTAATCAAGTTGTTGGCCAAAGAGGCCTCATGGAAACCCCCAAGCAACCCAGGTTATTGGTAAGGTTACTGATTACCCTCTAAAAACTAAGAGTAAGTTCCTGTGCTGGATACTTTTATGTCAACTTGACATAAACTGAAGTCATCTGAGAGGAGATTAGTCTCCGTTGAGAAAATGGCTGTGTTCTAGGCAAGCCTGTAGGACATTTTCTTAATTAGTGGCACATAGGGAAGGACCCAGCCCATTGTGCGTGATGCCATCCCTGGGATGGTGGGGATCCTGGGTTCAGTAAGAAAGGAGGCTGAGCAAACCACGAGGAGCAAACCAGTAAGCAGCACCCTTCCATGGCCTCTACATCAGCTACTGCCTCCAGGTTCCTGTCCTGTTTGAATTTCTGTCCTGAGTTCTTTTAGTGATGAACAGTGATATGGAAGTGTAAGCAAATAAACCCTTTCCACCCCAAGTTGTTTGGGTCATGACGTTTCAATACAGCAATAGTAGCCCTAACTAAGACAGGCCTATTGCTGAAGACAACACCTACACAAATCATTGAGCACGGAAAAGTCAAGTCAGTGCCTACCTAAAGCTTTCATCCCTACAGACCAATGTTCATGGTATTGAAAGGTACTCTGCATACTACCAAGGGAGAAAAGTAAAACACCAACAAGGCTACAAACTCTTCGATTTATAATGATAACCTGCCAGCAAGATATGCTTGTGCAATTGCAGCACAATGCTTGTAGGAGGAACCAACCAATATCAAATTGGATTTAAGGTTCATTTTATGAGCTGAAACTCATCCCTGACACTAACCAAGTGGCCAAGAACTAACTTGAGATCAAATAGGCCCAGGACATAGGGAAAAAAACAAACTCTAGTGTTCTGCTAAAGTAATGAAAAAATAGACAGTGTTCTGCTATGCCCAGTGTCTTGCTCAGCCCTGATCAGAGAAGCTTCCTCCTTCAGTTGATGGGAACAAATACAGAGCAGAGACCGACAGTCAGACACCGCGCAGAGAAACCTGGGAACATTCAGTCCTAAATAGGATGTCTCCATCAAATCTGTCCCCTCAGAGCTCAAGGAACCATACAAAAGAGGAGGCAGAGAAAGTGTAAGAAACATAGGGAATGGAGGCTAACTAGACAGCAAGGTCTTCTAACTCCGGCAGGACGGATACAAGGATGAGCTCACAGCGACTGCCGCAGCATGCACAGGGCCCACCCGGGTCTGCACGAGCTGGGACCCCAGAACTGAGAGGAGAATTGGACACAAGCCCTTAGCCCTAACACAGAATCTATCTCCAGCTGATAACCACTTGCAAATGAACAATTGGTTTTCTCTGACAGTCCCAGTAAGGACACAAACCATTTTTCAGGGCAAGCCCCGTGCCTAACACAAAATGAGCTCTATGACATCTTTGGAGGTTCCTTGTCTCAAAATGTTTCGTCAGGTTTTCTTTTCTTTTTTTTTTTTTTTACCTCACAGAGCTTTTGATTAGATATTGTGGCTTTGAATTTGTCTATCTATGGGATTCCTGTGTGTACGAATGTGTGTCTCTACATCTAAGTGTGTTTCTTGTGCTTTTTCCTTGGCTCTTTTTCTTCTCTTCTGCTTGTTTGGTCCTATACTGGTTTATCTGTTTTTGTTTTATCATTTTTTATTACATCATTATCCTTTAGAAGTCTATTATTTTCTAAGGAGAGACAGAAGAGCTGGGGATCTGGGTAGGGGAGGAGAGGAGTTGGGGGAGGGAAAACATAATCAGAGTATGTTGTGTGAAAAAAAATCCATTTTCAATATAAGAAAAATGGGGGCGGGGAGTAATCAAGACAACTACAAAGAACGCTTTTAATGAGATAGTATCCAAAACCCAGCTCAGCTCATGATGAAAGAATTAGTTAACAGATTAATGAAATCGAATTGGTATTTGTTATCTAATCAACATGGAAGGGGGGGGATATATACATCCCTATAAGAAAAGGTCAGTGTTTTGGTTTGGTTTGGTTTTCGAGGCTCCGGAAAGGAAGTCTACAAGCAGACTGGATGTTCCCTTCTTCCCACCTACTTCACAACATTGAATGCAACCACGGCTCCGAATCACGCTTCACCTCTCTCTCCCCGCTATCCAGATCAAAAACCACCTTTATGGGGTGAACTGACAGAAACATTTCTTATGAGGTACATCCAGATGGCTTGTGTTGACGCAAACGTGCCTTCTCCTCTCACGGAGTGAAGCTGTAAGAAGAGCTCATTCAAACCCTCAGGAGAATTTCTCTCGCTGGGAACACATGGAAGGCATCAAACCTTTGCAATCTGGACCCAAGAAAAAGCGGGGAAGCCACTGTACTAGGGGAGCCCTCCTGCCCGCGGTCCTAAGACCATTTCCATACCAGCCTTCCCCTGACCTTCCGTAGAGCTCCCCACATGCTCCTTTTTTTTTTTCCTGCCTCTTCCTACGTCCTCCAAGCCAGGTGAGACAGGATACTGGATATCCTCCATCATCCAGCCTCAGATGGCACTCACCCGAAACAAACCTGGAACCTAACAAGCTCAGGACCAAAGGAATCAGCACAGCAGGATGCACGTTGCCACCTTCTCCCGTCTTTTATTTCAGCTATCCAAATCCCAAACTGCATTTGCGGAGAACAGTGAGAGACAATATAAATAACACAGGACCTCATCAGACCGCAGCTCTGTGTGCTCACAGGGTCATCAGAACATCCTCAAAAACTCAATCTACTCAATGGGCAATGAATCATCCAAGCTCCATACCGCCCCCTGGCTTTCGACCTCTTGCCTTTATCATGAGGTAGTGTTCCTGCTGTAAAGTCAGTGGCCACCTACTGCAGAAGGATTTGCTTCGCCTGCTTTGCCATGCTCATGTGCCTGCCTGGGCCCCTGACCGTGAGCTGTCGGAGAACCAAAGGTCAGTCTCCTGACCGTGCCAAGGGCCGTTCACCTGCTGAGCAGGATGGCTGCCGTGAGGTAAGCGTGGAAAGTCGCTTAGTCGTCTGTGCTCGGAAGGGTGTAAGATGCCTCAACCGCTGTTTGGTTGCAAGTTTCTCATCAGAGCTTGAGTTGCCTTTTAGGCAGTGGAGCCAATGTCTCTCTTTATGAAGGTAAACCTTGAGATGGGAATTCCTGAATGGAAACTTTCTCCCCATCAAACATAGGAATCATCCCTATTGTAATAAGGCTGGAAAATCCCTTCTGTATTAAACAGATTCATGACGCGTGTACCCACCAATCCTCCTAGATTGAACAAAACACGACTCCCAGATGTGCAAAGAAAGCATGTGTATCTTAACCAGGGCCCGGAGCTGAGATCTGGGTAGTTTTCTCCTGTGCGACTTCTGCACTAACCCACACGGCAGCTCTAAAGAGCAAGAGACGTGTCTAATCCAACAATAGTCTCTGGGCTGTGGGTATAGTTCAGTGGTGCTGCATTGGGACCTGGCTTTCATCTCCAGAACCCACTAATATTTTTCATGTAGTAAGTATTTAATAAGTGATTCCTGCGTGGACAGGTTCCATCCATAGGTTTTCTGGAACCTTGCGGAACCCTGCTCTGAAAAAGACTTCTGACCCTCAAAGAGACACAATGAGATGATAAGTTTAGCTCAGCACGTTGGGGGAGCATTTTACCCCCATAAGTCTCAGAGTTTCTGTCTAGGATATGACGGCAGGAGACTAGCTGATGTCTAACGTCAGCTTACACATTTTAAATCTCGATCCTGAAATCGCATGGGGCTAGCTGATGTCTAACGTCAGTTTACACATTTTAAATCTCGATCCTGAAAGTCAAATCAAGCACACTTTCTTCAGGCCGGCAGGGAACATTCCCTCTGTGAAAGCTTCTTGGTCAAGGGCAAGAAAACGTGTCTTGGCAGTTAAGCACCAGTAAGGTGGTTTAATGGAAACCACCCAGAGGAAGGCTCCACTCCATTCCCCTGATTTTGTTACAGTCTGTGTTTAGGGAAAATAGAAAGAAATAGGAAATATGTCTATGGAATGGGGACATGTTCAGAATTTTATTGTGTTTAATGTATACATATATGTATGAATAGACATATCCATATATATCCATATATATCCCAGTCTTCAACAAAGAACAGTGAAGTTTAAAACAATGGTTTTAGATGACTGAGATCCCTCTGATGTCAAGGGAATAGCTCATATTACACACAAATAACTTATTTAAATTAAGAAGGCCAGTAATCAGGACGCAAGATGGGTAAAAGCACTTTCACACAAACTTGGTGACCAGAGCTTGGTCCTCAGAACCCAGAACCGAGAACCTATGGTGGGAGTAATGAATTTGTACTCTGACCTCCAAATGCACAGTGCGCGCTCACACAAACTCGGTAATAATAAATGAATTTATAAAAATTCATTTTATAAATGAAAGTTTGTGGTTAATTAAGCTAAGTTGAAATAGCAATAAGGTTTTGTAGAACTAACACACACACACGTAAATTGACTGAATTCACCTGAATAAAATTTTAGATAGTGCCCTCTTGTGGCAAAATCATGCAATTGCTGAATGGCTGTTTTGTCAGAGTACTAGGCAAAGGGTGCTGAGATCTTCCAGCTGGTTCTCAACCTATGGATCATGACCCCTTTGGGGCACCAAATGACCCTTTCACAGCAGTTCCTGTATATCAGCCTGCATGTCAGATATTCGCATTATGATGCCTACCAGTAACGGAATTGCAGTTGTGAAGCCGTAAGGAAATAATTTTAAGGTTGGGGGGTCACCACAACATGAGGAACTGTAGTAAGGGGTCCCAGCATTAGGAAGACTGAGAACCCCTAGCATATATACAGTGTCTCATTACATTTCATATCTGTGTATAGTGTTTTGCTCATACCCACCCTCCCATGATGTCCTGTCTCTTATGCCTCTCCCTCCAACTTCTTAAAGGAATGCCAAGATTTCAGTTCATATAAAAACCTCCAAATTCTTACAATTTGAAACTTGAAATGTAAGACAAAATAAAATAAAACTGTGTGTGAAACCCTGCCTACACCGAACGAAATAGGTTTTATGCCCAGATGAACATCGGTTCGCAGACCTCAGTTTCTGCCTATGGGGCCTTTGTGGACTGATGTTCAAGCTATGGCTGGAACATGTCCGTCTTCTACGTCTCAAGGCTCATAAGGAAGAAATTCCAGAAGAAACTGCTTGGGGCTTCTGAAGTCCTTCACATCACTGTAGACATCTCCTCCAGGTAAACAGCCTACCGTCTTCTGCATGAACTTCTCATGCTTGATGTGTCTGTGACATTAGATATTCCCATCAGCTCCGAAAAACATGAGTTTACAATGTCTGTCATAACACACTTCTTCATTCTCTCAGGAACCACTCATAGCTATATATTTTTCTTTGTGTTCAAAAAATAATCTGACCATCAAGAAAAATCTATCCCAGTCCCATGGATAAAGTTATGAACGCTCTAGCGGGGACTGGAAGCTCCTGGAGGATCAGGATATTCATTGACTATGACACTTGTGCACATTTGGACTTGGGTCTGAGAAGGGAATTCCATTATTAAGGTTCTCCCTGCTCATCTCTTCCTAATTAGCTACTGAAGAGGAGGATAAGCACCTGACCATCCCTGGGGACCATGAGCCCATCATCAACCCACACCCCACATCACCCCACATCATCCACCGTCCGTCTGTTGTAGATGTTGGTAATGTATGTGCAGATAAGTACAAAGTAATTTAGGCCTGCTCTGAACCTACGACACTTGAAAATGTACATCTCCTCCACTCTCTGCACATACAACAGGTTGCTTTGAATTCCTCTTTAAGCCTTGCCCTCGGCCCAGACATTCTTTTCCAGTTGGTTAGCTGGTTGATTGGTTGAGTTTTTCAAAACCAGCACACAAAGTAATGGGTTTCATTGTGGCATTTTCCTACATACTTTATTTTTGCCAATCCCCCCTCCCCTCTTCTCCTTCCCCGTTCTCTTGCATTTCTCCTGCTGGCCCCTTTCCTTCCCTGGCAGCAGCCTCTCTCTGCTTGCGTTCCATTTTCCTTGTTCTCCTCCAAAGGCCTCTTCTTACTTTCTCATGATCTCCTTCATAATTTGATGAACTATATGCCCCCCCAATACACACATATAAACAGACACATATATACATATAAGTTAAAATCTAGGATCTGCATATGGCAAAAACATGCAGTATTTATCTTTCTGAGTCATGTTATGTTGCTTAATAAAATAATTTCCAGTTCCATCCACTTTCCTGCAAATGTTATGATTTCATTCTCCATTATGACAGTCCAAAGGGTTTTGATTGCAGAACTTCCAAAATTAATACAGAGTAAAAATAAAAAAGTCACACGTCTTCAGATCATACAATGGGGAAGTAGCATGGGGAAAGGGGAAGCTTCTAGAAGGAATAGATGAGGAGAAAATGTCTCCAAGAAAGGTCCTCTGTGAAGCTCCAACATGAAATTAGGCTAAAGCTCCCTGGCAGACAGGGATAAAGGTTAAGCAGGCATGATTCAGCATGCCTCAGGCAACTGGAATAACAAGAGACCTATGATCACATATATCATCATATGTATACATATGAGCAAGACACAGGCCAGTTTCATTTACATCTTCTAGTTTCAGCAGCTGGGCAGTTTCCTTGTTGAAGCTTTGCTCCTTAAAATTGGGATTCTTTAAAAGATGAATGGAATGAGGGCTTTCCTAGATTTGGGGTAATCCTCAAACGTCTTGAGGTAGAACCTAAAGAGACAAGAAAGGAAGGAATGATTACAAACAGAGTAGTTGTGAACAACTGAGCTTGCACAAGCCAACCCGGTTGTTCGGCACCTGACCCTTCCTGGGGCCCATGTGCCCATCATCGACCCCTTTCCTGCAGTCTGTCTCTTGTGAATGTTGGCCACCTGTCCAGATAAGTACAGAGTACGATCAGAGGGTAGTGGAGATGGTTCTACAATATTACAGACGCACTTGACACTCAGCTTTACAGTCAAAATTGTTAAAGTGGTAAGTTGTATGCTGTGCACACATCACCAATTTTTTTAATAGACAAAGGAAGTGCTCATTTGGGCTCACTCTGCTGAAAACTGCAGGAAGCTAGAGCCTCCCAAAAATCTGGACAACTGGTGAACTAGTGGCAGACCAGTAGTGGGGGTAACCAACTGCTCTCTGATTGGACCAGAGGCCTACACCACAGGAGAAAATCCACATCTTGGACAAAAAAAAAAAAAAACTGGACAAAAGTCCATGGCTGTGGAGGTCCTAGGTCCCTACTGCAACTGTTCTACTTAGTGGAAAAGACGTGCCCATTGAAATGCTGTCAAATAGCTACATTTATACCCGTAGATCGGTGCTGCAGCCGACTTTGCTCAGAGCGGCTTCTTTTGGCAGTAGGCAGCAGTAGCTGCAAAGACTCATAAAGAGTCAAAGTGTTAAGAATAAGAAAATGCTAAGTGCTCAGCCATGAAAGGAGTTTCTGGATCACTCCCAGGCTTATCACAGAAGATGGGAGAGGAAGAAGGTGCGGGTCAGGAGAAAGAGTGAAATGAAGCGGAATACTGTCTTTAGAACGCGGCATCACCATTGCACTCCTGGTCCTACAGCAGTTGAGACCTGCCTGAGACCTGCACAAGACTGAGTTTGTCAATAGCCTGTCATGGTCCCCTCCCCAGGACCTCCAGGAAGATAATCATAGCTAGCAGGAAGGTGTTCACAGGGCTGGCCTCCCCCTGAGGATCTACTAGTTGCTAGGGTGAGGGAGAGACGTTTGCTTTGGTGGTGTGGCCACCTACAAGGATCTCAAGCTCTTGTAAACAACCCCTTACCCAGGATCCTGTAATCAATTCTCTGAGACTCACTCGGTCATGAAAAGTAAATAAACAGGACTAGAGAAATAGCCCAGCAATGAAGAGCACTTGTTGGTCTTCTAAAGAGCCCGAGTTTGGTTCCCAGCACCCATGTGCAGTGGCTCGCAACTCCATGCCTGAAACTCAGCTCCAGGAACTGAGGCCCTCTTCTGGGTGCGCACACACACACACACACACACACACACACACACACAATACACACACATAAACACATGCACACATGCATGCATATGAACACAGACGCACACAATACATGTAAATAAAATAAAAATAAATCTTTAAAAATAAGATGAAGCCATTTAAGAGCAGGGGGAGACAAAAAAGAGTAGTAATGATGAACACGGTAAAATACATTTATATATGTAAGAAAATGCCATGAGACTCATTTTTGTGTCTAACTAACACCTGCTAATCAAAAAAATTACAAAAGGTTATGGGAAAAGTTAACCTCAGAAAACTGATAGCACTTTTTGGCAAAGGTCCCTTCCTGAAACTTTGGAGTGCCACTATTACTATGGAGTGCTAGCATTATGAATTTTGCCCCCTAAAAGGCAGGGTGAAGTCCTAACTCCAAACACCTGAAGATACAATCTTATTTTGGAACTATGGTCACTGCAGATGTAATTAATTAAAATAGCTCATAACGCTGCAGGGTGGGTCCTTAATCCCATAGACCTGAAAAAAGACAGGAAGGCGTACGAGATGGGAAGGTCACAGGCAGACTGGCTGTGATTAGAGATCTGCCCCAGTCATGGAAAGCCAAGAATAGTAGTCTGCACCAGAACTGAATAAAAGGCAAGAAAGGATTCTTCCTCAAGCCATTCCAGAGAGCATGGCCCTACCTGTTCCTTAAGGCCAGTCCTCTGGTCTCCAGAGCTCTGAAGAGAGAGATTTCCCTTGTCCTAAGCCCATGCAGCTGAGGGGCCTTTCCTTTGACAGCCTAATGAGATTAATGCATCTTATGAAAAGCTTCTACCCTGTGTGACTAAATTGTCCTCTTTGCTAGCTGAAGCTAATGGCCCTTGAGGCATAATAAAGACCAAATACACTCAGCTAAAGTGCTTTGGGTTTAGACTGGAAAACCAGAAAATAAATAAATAAATAAATAAATAAATAAATAAATAAATAAAATGTGCCAGAAGGACCTGGCCTGTGCTGCTTTGATTTGAAAAGATCCTGAGTGCTCAGCCTGCCCTGCCAATGCCTGTCTTTGCTTCATGAGCACCTTCACAAAGTCCTTTTGGTCCTAGAAAAAAGAGCCCCCCCTGGCTCTCCCTCTAAGAGGACTATAACCAGATGGCCTCAATTTGATTCTGATGTTGCACGAGCTGGAAACTTCTGGTGGAATTCCTGACCAAGTATTTTGCGGTCTAGGTTTCTCAAAGACCCCCTTATGCACACGGCAATGCCCTGACCTCTGCCATTCTCTCACGGCCTCTGATGGGCAGCAGACTCTCCTGAAGTGGGAGGGCTGTTATGTTGTCTCTCAAAGGCCATGAACCTTTGAAACCCCGCTCTCTCTCTCTCTGTCTCTCTCTGTCTCTCTCTTTGTGTGTCTCTCTGTCTCTCTCTCTCTCTCGCTCTCTCTTTCTACCTATCTTTCTTTCTTTCTTTTTCCGAGACAGGGTTTCTCTGTGTAACAGTCTTGGCTGTCCTGGAACTGGCTCTGTAGACCAGGCTGGCCTCGAACTCACAAAGCTCCACCTGCCTCTGCCTCCCGAGTGCTGGGATTACCCTGTACCTTTCAGTCCAGGAGGTGATACAAATAGGTCATGAGGAAACTGCCACTTTGTCTATTCCCAAACTGGTCTCAGTTCCCACTCGGAAGAAAGGAGATTGCACCTCATTTAATCCTGAAGACTATTAGAGAAATCATGAATGAGGCAGAGATGCTGTGGCAAGAACTTAAGGGGCACTCAGCCCCGTTCTGTACTCCATGTGTTCCTTCCTGGTCTCTCAGCGTTCTCTCTACAAAAGTGCCTTTAAGGTAAGCAGGTGAAGTAAACAATTCATTGCCCTGTCCTCCCCAGCACCACTCTCCGTTATCTCTGTTATCCTACTCAACCCTTGCCTGATGGGTTAAAGCTGAAGACCAACCTTCCAAAGGAATGCCTTAAATGCCTGCAGTTCCAACAAATGCCAGCAGATGGAGCACTCAGGGTGCACCTGCTTACCTTCCCTTTCCAAGAAGCTTGGACTTGCTGGCAATGGTCTCATCCATGGAACACAGGGCAAGAAATAGGACGGAAGGGAACCGAATTGAAGCGTGGACATTTGTTTCACCTCTTAGCCCATTATCTGAACTTTCCAGTCAAGTGGTTACCATCACCAGGCATAGAACCTGGACCAACCAACTCAGTGGGGAAAGCCATCTTTTACCTTTTTTTCTCATGTTAATTATGCATAGTAATAGGCTTCATTATGACATTTTCATACACTTGTAAATGCACTTTGATCATTTCTGTTACCCTCTCTTGTCCTTTCCCACTCCCACTAATCTCTCCTCTTTCTCTTCCCAACTATTTCCTTTCTATTTTCATGGTTTGTTTATGATTCATGGAATTTCATTAGGGTTTCTCATAGGAACATGGGCACCTTACCACTGGCTACACCACTGGAAAAAAAAAAAAGTCTCTCTTTCTCCCATCAATCATTAACTAAATCCTCAGGGAAGGAGAGTAGGAGACCTTCCTCAACAAGGTGGGCATAATGGCTGACCAGCCATCACCTCTGGTGGTTCTGTCTAAGTTATCATTTCCATTGTGTCCGGCTGTCAGCATTCAGGCAAAATGCTTAGTCACCCCACGTGCTAGCATTTCCAGGGGCCCATGGCTGCGTGGCTGAATGCGTGGCCATCAGCATTCAGACAAAATGCCTAATCATCTTAGGGCCTTACACTCTATGTAATCTATGCACAAGCATGGTGTGCCTATGTAAACCCCTATGCTCATGCACTGAACTACCTTTAAAAGCAGACATGCCTCTCTCTCTCTCTCTCTCTCTCTCTCTCTCTCTCTTTCTCTCCTGTCACATTTCTTCCAGACAGGGCTGTGCACTCCCTCCTTCCCCTTCCCCCACTCTTTATTAATAAAACTCTTAAAGTGGGTTTCATTGTATATCTTGTGGTCCATTCTCTCACGCACAATAATATCAATCTATACAGTCTTTTTATTTATTTATTTATTGCTACCATTATCCAACTCAATTCCAGCTTCAGTAAAAACTTGAAAAGTGAGAATTTAATCACACAATATGATTACTGTATCACATTTCCGTTATCATGTGTTTGTAAATCTGATTCCATGTGCTGCAGTCTCACTGGAGAAGAATGTTATGTGATGCTACAACCTTCGGACACTGTTAGCTGTCACCTTGACTTCTCAAAGGCAAGGCTCTGGTAACAGCTGTGAGGGACTATTTATATGAAGGGATGGCCTCAGAAAACGCCTGTGAGGGGTTGTCCTGACGAAGTTCATTGCTACGGGAAGACCCATCTTAATTGTGGTAAGACCATTCCCTGATGAGGGACTCTGGACTGTATAAAATTCATACAGAGGTTCCCAACCTGTGGGTCACAACCCCTTTGGGGACACATATCAAACATCCTGGAGAGAAGATGTTTACATTACGATTAAAAACAGTAACAGATTTACAGTTGTGAGGTGGCAATTAAATAATTTTGGGTTGAGGGTCAGCACAGCGTGAGGAAGCGTCGGAAGGTGGAGAACCTCGGGAAGGTGGAGAACTGCTGGTATAAACAGAGAGGGCAAGCGGAGCATAGCACACATGCATTCATTCATTTGCTTTCTGCATTTGACTGTGAATGAATGCAATAGGACCACCTGCTTCGAGTTCCCGCCCCTTTGACATCTTTGCAATGACACCTCCCATAACCCGGAAGTGAGCCAAATCAACCCTTTCTCCCTTAAGTTGCTTTCGTCAGGGCGTTTTAATCATGGAAACAGGAAACAACACTGAGATGCCTCCGTTGAAAAGCTTACCTGTGGTGGTAAAAAGCTTGCATCCCAAGGAAACAAAGTGAGAAAAATGCAAACGCAAGGGCTGGAAGGGACCACGTGGCCAAGGCATAGCCCAACCATTCAATGATCTCACCCAGGAAATTGGCTCCCGAAACATACGTAAACAAGCCACCTGTGCATGGAGAATCAGAAAAACAGTGCTCAGAACCTCAGTTCTGTGATACCGCATCCCTGGCTGTTGTTCCAGAACACACAAAGATGGGAAAACAAATGTAAAATGGGAGGCCCTTCTACAGCCAGAGTTTAGAGGAAGCCTCTTAGAAATAAGGGAAAACAAAGCAACCGCAGCCCTTTGCCTGCCAAAGGTTCTGGAATCCTGGAGTGGCCCCATCTACTGATGGGCATTGTCCGGATTTCTTTACAACTGTTAGGCCACCAGCTTTGAGATGAGGTGAGCAAGAGATGCAGACGGCCTGCTTCTCATCTCGTTCTGTTCTAAAGGACATTTTCAGGCCACTCCTTACCTTCCCAAGCCTTTCCCGGCAAGTCCCAAGGTCGGTCGTTATGGTACACCCCGTCACACAAAAGTAAAACAACGTGCTACATTGAAATGAAATCTTAACAGGTGTGAGCAATGATTTGATTCATTTGGACCCTTTGATCCTCCCACTACCTGGTTCCCTGCCCTCAACACTACTCATGCTGAGAGCAGAGGATATTCGCCCTGCTGGGGCTAAAAAGCTCTGTTACTATTGAAGCATTTCACTTCTACCCACCAGAGAGCTCCCGTCTCAGAACTATCTAGAAATCAAGGCATTTCTGACGACGTTAAATGTACCCACACTCAAGCTTTATGAGCCATCTTAAACTAGAAAAGTTGTGACCAAAACAGCTTTTCTCCTTCTGTGATTGCGTTAAAGCGGGCTTTTAAGTCGTTCTCTCGCACTCCGAGAACTCTGTTGGAAACTGACCTTGGCAACCTGGTTTCTAAGAACTGTCCCAGCTCATCTTTACTTAATTATTAAACCGAAGTTTTCAAGTGTTGAGTGCACTTAGTGTTGGAATGTGAGCGCTGCCCACGGAGTCCTGTGGGAACACTCTGTCCCCAGCTTGTGGTACCAGTTCAGAAGACTGTGGAACCTCTCAGCCATGGGTCCTTGCTGGCGGGTGGAAAGCTATTGGGGGTGAGCTCGAGGGGGATAGCTGACCTGGTTCCTACCCAAGCTCTCTACTTTCTGGCTGGCTACAGAGATAGACGTAAGCAAGTAACCCCACGTTCCTGCCACCAATGATAAGAGCCCTCCTAGAACGCCAGGTGTCCTCACCTTCTCTACCTGGACACTGAGATAACCGTGCTTCTGTCCAGTGTTCTGTCCCAGCTGTGAGAGACATGGCTGACACAAGGAGCAAGTTTTTTGACTATTGGTTTTCCAAAGGATGACACTGTGTCGTTGTCTTCCTGCCCATGACACCCTTGACTTTGTGAGGTCCTGTTACCCATGAACATCATGAATAGTCTAGCTTAGTTCCTTGAATACCAAGGAATTAATGACCCTTATGCATTTAAATGTATTACTAACCACAATAGCTTTGCCATTGTTAATCAGTGGTTGCTGGTCTACACCATCATATCATAATCCAGAACATTTTTACTGCAAACGAGGGCTCTGTTTACATCCAGAAGGGTGGGAACCACTGTCCACTTGCCTGTGTTGATCACCTTGACTGATTGATAGCCAAATGCTTATTCGTCAGACTCTCATTCCTAGTTCTTGGGGCCAGTTACACTGGTACTTTCTCTGTATCTTGATCTCAGGACACGGCAGTCACGTGCTGCCCAGTGGCACGTCACAAGTCAACAGCAGACTGCAGACGTGACGCTGAGCCACACAGACTCTAACAGACTTCGAGTATTCACCATTTAGTGACATCACAGCCATTGCAGTGTAAGTACAGCACACTGCCCATCATTTGAAAGCTCAGGCCCCGTCATCACCAAACCTGAGGACCTGAGTTCAATCCCTGGGCCCCACATAAAGCCGGTCACAGCAGCACATGCCTGTGATCCCAATGCTGAGAAGGTAGAGACAGGAGGATCCTGGAGCTCCTTGGCCAGACCATCTAGCTGCATGGATGAGCACCAGGTTCAGTGAGAGACTGGATCAACAAAATCAGATGAAAGTGCAATTGAAGGAGACGCTTGAGTTCGAACTCCAGCCTTCACGGGGATACGAACACACATGCACACGCCAGACAAAATTGTTGTAATTAAAAAATATTTTTTTAGGAAGAAAGTACAAGCAAATAATTATAGACAGGATTTAATCTTTGATAATCATATTAAGTGTCTATGTTCTGGTTTATATGCTTTCTAAGCTACGCATTGTTAGAACATAATTCTTCAACTTAGAAACATGTTACCCACAAAACAATCCCATAGTTTGGCTGGGAGTGGGGGAGCCATCACTCCGTGCATGCTGCGCCCTAAAGACTTTCCAGTGAGCACAAAGGCAAAATACACGATACTGATGCTTGCGATCATGTGTAGGCCTAGGCTAAGATATGTTTGCCTCTTAGCTTTTAGCAAAAAAGTTTTTAAAAATTCAAAACTTAAATAGCCTATACTCTGTAACCTAGGTATGCAGTAGGCCGCCGCATCCAGGTTCTTGTTAGCACACAATGATGTTCACCTGGCAATGAAATCCTTCTCTTCGTTGCTAGCACAGCCAAGGCTCCCACTCTGTGTAAATGAGGGGCTTATATACTAGGTTGTAAACTGTTCCCCACCTCTTATCGAAGCTTGGTGCCCTCTGTCACCTTGAGGGCACTATGATCTTCCTACCTAGGGTGGGCAAAGGGTCTTTTCTGTCTCTGTCTCTCTGTTTCTCTCTGTCTGTCTTCTCTTTCTCTCTCACTCTGTCTCTCTCTCTGTCTTGCTCAGTGGTGTGGGGTAGTACCTGTAACAAGGCCAACCTTGAACTCACTATGTACTAAAGAATGACTTTGAACTCCTGACTCCGGATCTTCCTACCTCCCCTTTTAAGTGCTGGCATCATAGATATGTATCACCATGTCTGAGTTAAGTGTTGCTGGGGATGGAATCCAGGGCTTCATGCATGCTAGGCAGTCACTCCACCAACTGAGTTACAATCCTAGTTGTCTTGGAGCTTCCTTAGATTCTGCAGAAGGGACAGAGAACGTAGGGGAGGACAGAAGCAAGCCCCAGTGCTTATACTGCATAGTTGTGCTGACACGAACCCTCCCCATTCGTCAGCCCCTGGGGCAGGCCCCAGTGAAGACTGGAAGTCTGGGAGTCGGAGAGGCGTTACCTTGTGGAATCTTATAGACGATTTCTCCAGGCTTCCTAAGCTGACGCAGCAGGTAGTCACTGTGGATGTTGATCCCCATTCCCAAAACAAACAGGAAGACACCTTGGCAAAGAAGAAGCAGATCAAAAGATATCCTCTGCTTTGTTATTTTTCACACAAGATTTTTCTTTCTTTCTTTCTTTCTTTCTTAAAATAAAGGGAGGGACATTTAGTTGCCAAACCTAAGAATGGTATTCAGATATGGTCTGAAGCTTTCTGGGAAGAGAGGTTTTCCTATTCCTAGGGTAAAAATGTTAGCACTCTCGTAAGGTCTGATGAACAGAGGAGGGAGAGCGGGGCAAGCAGGAGGTAACAGCATTGTGTGTGTTAAACAAACCACCGTAATAAATCAATAAGTAACAGCAAGCCTGTGGCTCATTCACAAAGGGCCAACTGACTGGCTCATTCACCGGCCACGTTCTCCTTTGTCATGCCCTACTGTGAAGGTTGGAAGTCGACAGACACAGGCATGCAATGTTCAATGAACAAACTTTATTAATAAAAAGTGACTCCATATTCTTTGTAGTTAAATATAAATATTATGCTCAAGATAATTTTTTAATAAAAATAAGAATTATTCATTTTAATCCAGAGATCTTCCCTTTCTGCTGTTTTGTTCCACTTCTTGGTTTTATGGCCAAACAACACCTTACATGTGTAACCGTATTTCACAGTGAAGCCTCTGCTCCTTGGTGATGTTTGAAAGCATAAGAAGAGGCTGAGGGACAGGCTGGAGACAGGATTCTCAGTGTGGAGGTTACTGACGGCAGACATGCAGGCTAGACAGACCTGTGGCTTGGTGTGGAACAAAACTAATCCAGCTAAGGAGAAGAGAGCCCAGCAGGAACTGGTTCTGAAGACAGCCGGAAGTAGTAAGTAATAGGCAGAATGTGACAAGTGATATTAATAAGGATTAAGAATGATTTCTAGGTCAGGCAATGGTGGTGCACAGTTTTGATCCCAGCACGTGGGAGGCAGAGGCAGGTGGACCTCTGTGAACTCGAGGCCAGCCTGGTCTACAAACCAAGTCCCAAAACAGTCAGAGAAACCATGTTCCAAAAAAAAATCTATATTGATCTTTTATGTTTTATATGAGCCAAGATAGTACACAAAGAACTTAAATATCCTGGACCTTGGTTCTTCTTATTGACATGAGGGAGCAGACCAAGGAGATGGCTCAGTCAGTAAAGTGTTTGGCTTGCAACATGGTGCTAGCTGGGAAGGGAGGAGAGACAGATTCACTTACCCAAGCTAAATCGTACATCTGTGTACCACTCCTTAGGGTATTCTGCGCAGTAAATCAGATAGTGGGCTTGAAGAAATCCATTTCCCATGCAGAAGGCAATTGCTCTCAGAAAGAGAATCACTGGGTAAGGCCTCCCTCTGGTGAGCAAGGAATAAATAAATGTCCTAGAAGGGAAGGAGAAAGTGATTAAGAGTCTTCATTGTTGGGAAAGGGAAGGAGTGGCCAAACCATAATATAATAGTGCTGTGTGATAATGCTCCTGTATCCTGTGAAGATTTGTCACTTGTATTGGTTTAATAAAACACTGATTAGCCAGTATCCAGGCAGGAAATATAGATGAGGTGACCAGACTAGGGTCTAGGAAGAGGAAAAGCTCAGTCTGCAGTTGCCACCCAGGTGCAGAGAAAGCAAGGTAAAAATGCTGCACTTGGAAAAGGTACCAAGCCACGTGACTAAATATAGGTAAGAATTATGGGTTAATTTAAGTTGTAAGAGCTAGTCAATAAGAAGCCTGAGCTAACAGGCTAACCATTTATAATTAATGTAGACCTCTGTGTGTTTCTTTAGGACTGAACAGCTGTGGGACTAGGTGGGACAAAAATTTCCATTTACAAACACTTAAATGGTGTTTAGGTGGCATGCTTCTTGGTGGTGGCACGGATCTAAAAACTCCACAGAGTTATGGCAAAAAAAAAATGTTGTTCTCACCAGTATCTCCACCATAAAGCTAGACTCTTAGGAAGCCAAGGAGTGGGATAGATCCACCGCCAAAGCTTTAATCCTAGCCATATTGCTTAGCAAATTAAAGATTCGTGTGGTCAGAAAAAGAGATATACAGTAAAGACCAATTCAGTCAGAGAGAAAAAAACTCTAGTTTACAGTATGTTTAAAAATATACATAGGCTTGGGAGAGAAAAGAAAAAGGATAAAGTTTTTTTTTTAAAAAAAAAAAAGGGTAGTTGGGTCTGGTGGTGCACACCTTTAATCCTAGCACTTGGGAGGTAGAGGCAGGCAGATCTCTGTGAGTTCAAGGGCAGCCTGGTCTATAGAGTGAGTTCCAGGACAGCCAAAGATACAGAGAAACCCTGTCTCAAGTCCAAAAAAATAACCACACCAAGATTATTACTATAAACACTTTTCCCTTGAATTTGGCCCAGTCAGTAAAGTGTTTGACTTATAAGCATGAGGACCTGAGTCTACTCCCACAATCTGGTTTGCTTTTGCCTGCTATAGCATGCACTTGTTAATCTAGCACAGGGGACACAAAAACATGCATTGAATGAACAATTACTATCTGATTCTAGAGCAATGATTTTTACTGGATTTTTTGTCCTTTTTTGGTTTTTAGGTTTTGGTTTGTGTTTTGAGGGGGTTGGGGAGTTGTTTGTTTGTCTTATGACATTAAAAATGCATAGAAACTACATTTTATTTACACAATATTTTATAAATTATATACACAATATTTTATAAATATTTTATTTATTCCTCATTTTATTTACACAACAGCCTTGAAAGGTAGGTACAAACTCCATCTAGCAGTTGATGGTGGCGGGGGAAGACCCAAAGAATTATCACCCCCATAAAAATCAAGGTAAAAATTGGACCCACCAAAATATGTCAAAAATCAATTCTTTTTCATAACTTTAAATAGTCACTAAAAAACTTTCAGCAACCCACAGGACTCTGATAAAGAAAATGTTGCATTTCATCGAAGGTAACAAACCCTGTGACATTAACTTACCCTAGATCCATTTACCATGCTCTCATCCTCTGCAGCTGGAAAACTAAGAGCCCATGTTCCAAGTGCTGGTGAGGGTAGGAAGGTGTGGGATTCTCATTCCCACAGAGAAGCCTTTGCTCCACCTGTCAAGTGGTTCCCTGAAGAGCTCAGCTCCAAAAGTTAGTCTCTGTTCCAACTGACCCAGTGCTGACTGATTTAAAGGGGAGCTATGCCTTTTGGTGTCTTGGTAGCTTGGTACCCTAAGGGGCAAAGATATACCATGTAAAAGTTTAAAAGCAAAAAGCTAGGGAATAAGATGTTCACGGGAGTATTGCAATGCTCAGATGGGAAAGTGGTAATTGGGAATATCAATGTGAATGGGGAGTTCAGAAAAACGGCCCTCTCCAAGGTCTGGGAGTAAAGATCTGCCAGCAACAGCATGCAACCGCCTTCATCCTTCAGTCCCACGCCCTAAAGGAGCTAGGGCATCATGGAGAAATAGCTAATCGAACATCAAGGGCAGAGAGGATAGACAGTATATCAGAGATGTTTTATTGAGTTGGAAAGTAAAGGAACAATTGAAAATGAGTAGGGAGATAGGCGGTTGCCCCAGTTATAGATACCAACTGCTTCACTAGCCTTACTTGTGATAAACAGGGTGTGGGAAAGAATAATGGTTGTAGGCAACTGCAAATATTCGATCAATAAAGTTCTGTGAGTTCATACTGGTCCATTAAAAATATTAAAAACTTCGTCACTGCTAGAGGTAACTATTACATTAAATCCTTGCTCTGATAAAACATAGCTAGAGGGACAATTAATCACTTATCTTACATCCCATGGTCCTGTCTTCTTACACCTGTTACCTGCAATTGATGAGCAAAAGCTTTTCTTCTCAGTAAAACAGCAATAAGTAAATACTACAGTTAGAAAAGCTATCATCTGAGTGATGGAGGAGGGTCATCTGTCTATATGTTACTTTCATTGGTTAATAAAGAAACTGCCTTGGCTTTTGATAGGACAGCAGCTTAGGTAGGCAGAGTAGACAGAACAGGATGCTGGGAGAAAGAAGCAGAGTCAGGCAGTCGCCATGACTCTTCTCTCTGAGACAGATGCAGGTTAGGATCTTTCCTGGTAAGCCACCACCTCGTGGTGCTACACAGATTACTAAATATGGGTTAAAGCAAGATGTGAGAATTAGTCAATAAGAGGCTGAAACTAATGGGCCAGGCAGTGTTTAAAAGAATACAGTTTCCGTGTAATTATTTCAGGTAAAGCTAGTCGGGCGGGTGGGCAGTGGGAAGCGGCCTGCCGTTCCTTCATCAATCTGAGGAACTCCAAAATCACCCACAGACTGTTATCTTTCCATGATTTAAAAGGGCTACTAAGTACAAAAGAATGGAGAATCAGTTCGGGCAGGATCATAAGTGAGGCCACAGCCACCTTTTAGTAGAGGGACCTCACACAAGAAGGCAATCAGCACAAACTATTTCTTCCTTTGCTCTTCAGTTCAATGCTAGAGAAATGGCAGATGTGTAAATTCCATGAGAAGCCCCTGCAGGGATGGAGGCTACCTGGTAGGCGAGGAAGGAGCCACTGCAGTATCTAAAGTCAGCAGTGCTGTGACACAGCAGGGGACTTTTCGAGGATGTTTTTATTAACTCTTCTCCTCTTGCTTGAAAAGAAGTCCCAAGACCCACAGCCTCTGATCAAGTCACTTGGGATCTATGTAGTCTCATCAAAGGACTACTGAAGCCCCACTAGAATGGCAATAAGAAAAACAATCACATCCTAACTGGTCATCCTTGGATGTCCATTCTCCCAGCTAGTATGTCACAATCTATGGGCTCCTCTCCCCAGAACTGCATACCTCCCTGATGCCTGGATGACAGTGACTCTGGGGAGCACTGTTTTGTGATGCTTGTGGTTCTCACCTGGAGTCTCTTTTCTCCTGTTTCTTAAGTTCACAAGAGGACACTGACTGGGACCTGCTCTTAATCCCTAGCCTAACTCATATGACAAAGACTCAGGAGAAATGATTCTGAGCCAAGATAATTAGACACCCAAGAAGTCCAACAACTAAAGAAATAACCAACAGTTAAAATATGCAAACATCTTGAGTAAATAATGAACAACATATACTGGGTAAAGTGGAATTGCCATAACACAATGACTTTAAATAAACCCCAAAGTATCCTCCAAGAAATGTTTTCAAGGCAGGAAATGTCACTTAAAAGGAAACTTCATAACAATACAGTATAAGAAAAATATACTAGTTAATTCTTAGGTGCAATTCTTAGAATAAAGAGCAGATGGCTTTGAGCTGGAAGTTCAAGAAGGAATGAATGACTAGACTCAAGATGTTATTCAGGGAGGAAATGGACCACATTCGTTAGAGTTTTTGTTTTAATTTACTTGTGTGTGTGTGTGTGTGTGTGTGTGTGTGTGTGTGTGTGTGTGTGTGTGGTGTATGTCTGTCTGTCTGTTTGTCTCTTTGTGTGTCTGTCTGCCTGTCTATCCACCTGTCAGTCTTTCCTTTTGTGTGTGATGTGGGAGAGGAGCCGGTGCATGGCACCATACTTGGTGGTAAGAACACAACTCGGGGAGCCAGTTTCCTTCTTCCACCTTTTCCTGGGGTCTAAGATCCAGCTCAGGTCCTCAGATTCTCATAGCTAGCGCTTTTGCATATGTCTCTCTAGCCCATCAGATACACTTAAATTTTTTTCCTGGTTGGGAAAATATTTAGGTGCCAGAAATATAGCAGAAGAGAAAACGATATTCAACACATTTGTTTGAAGAGATGAGCAGGTGAGGCTTGACTACAGAGTTAGGGACATAGCACACATTCTGTGATGTCTAGGGTAGCACCCTGAGTTTAAGGCCAAGGAGATAAAATGATGGATGGATTTTCAGAGACAAAATCTTCAGATTTTGTGTTATTATACACACGTGAAAGCTAGAGCCTAGGGAAGTTAGAATAACATGCCCATAATTATAGATCCAACTGATGGAGTAGCAGCAAGACCTAGGTTTTCTAGGTCTGAGAAGATGGCTCAGTCAGTCAGTGCTTGCTGCACAAGCATAAAAGCCTGTGTTTGCTTCCCTGACCCCCATGTAAGAGCCAGCTCCAAGAGTGCAAATCCATATGCACCTGTGCACACACATACACCATATACACATTAAAAAGATCAATTAAATTAAACAAATAAAGGTCTTTTGCTAGGTTCAGTTACCTACACTAAACTTGTTCATTCATTCCCCAGCTGCCCAGACCAAAAATAATCACACAGAAACTATATTAATTGCAACACTGCTTGGCCTATTAGCTTAGGTTTCTTATTAACTACCTTTTATATAAGAAATTAACTCATTTCTACTATTCTATGTATTGACACGAGGGTCATGGTTTACTAGGAAGTCTCCGGCATCTGTCTTCTTCGGCAGCTACATGGTGTCTCTCCGAATTTACCTCCTTTCTTCCAGCATTCAATTTAGTTTTCCTGCCTAGCTCTATTCTGTCCTGTCCTAGGCCCAACCACCTTTTTTATGCATTAACCAATAAAAGCAACACATATACAGAAGGACTTCCCACATCAAGCATCCAGATGCTTAAGCTTATAGTGGCTCTCTTAAAAGGACCTGTGAGCCACATTCATCACAGAACTAGAAATGGTCTGAAAATCTCAGGCTTTGGAGCTGAATTTCATGTGTTGGGAACTGCGTCCCTCTGGTTCATATGTTGATGGTGTTTTGGAGATGGAGCCTAAGGAATGTGATTGATCTACTCGTGCATTAATAAGCTATTGAAGGAGCGAGTTTGCTGTGTGGTACATGTGTCTGATCTTGCTGTGTGATGCCTTCCTGCCATGTTTTTGTGCAGAAAGAATGCTCTCACCAGGTTCCATCTCCAAAATACCATCAACATATGAACCTGAGGGATGCAGTTTCAAACACATGACACAGATGCCAGTGTCATGTTCCTGGCCCTAGCTCTGAAAGCTTAAGAAACTTCTATTTTTTATACTTGATAGAATCCAAGGTATTTTGTTCTAGCAACAGAAGGTGAACCAAGACAATTGTTACTTGACCTTATATATTTCATATTCACTCATACACTCTCTCTCACACACACATGCATGCAACCACGCATAAACACATGCACATGTGTGTGTGTACATGCGCGTGTGCGCACACACACACACGCGCGCACACACACACACACACACACACTAGCCATTCATCTGACCATCTGCAGACAATACAAAGCAGGCAAGGTCTGGAGACTATGATGTAAATCACAGTTACTCTTTAGATAGGATTTCTAGCTTCAACGCCCAGAAGCCTGTCTAACAAAAGCACTGGGTTTGGAATCAGAAAACTTGGACCAGTGTTTGCTTTCCCTGAAAATGGAGTCTTATTCTTTTCCCTGACACATCTCAAGATCACTGTGAGGTCAAATTTGATAATCTAAGCATGTAGTACAGTGATGAAGTACTTTCTTAGCATGCTCAAGCAATCTCAATCAAGAAATTACTATCTCTAGCACCACAAAAACCATTTAAATAATCTACATAGATAGATATTTAAACTGTAGCATTATTGACAAAATGATATACACACGTGTTGCTTTATATCCAAGTCAAATTTTATAGACTTAAACAGCCAGGTAGTCTAGCAGGCCCACAAATCTTTCGTCTTGGCTCTCTTGGCAAATACCACCAACCCTGAGAGGACACAGAGACTTCTCTCTGCCTTTCTGAACCTGTCCACTTCCTGGTCCAGTCTCCTAGCCAGGTGCTGGGTCATAGGATCTTGAATCGTTTGTGTTCAGAGCTGCAGAGTAAAGAAGGGTTTGTTTCTAGGATCCGCTCTCTTGAAACTATAGGCTGCCTCCTTATGCCAACAGCAAATTTGAATGCAAGTCCCTAAGGAGCCCTCTCTCCATTCAATCATAACAGTGAACATACTCACGTCCATAAATAAAAATGCCTCCCATGTCCTTCAAAATGCAAAAGAAATAAGAGGAGCCTGCAGCTCTGCCACCAGAGTATTTCTGCAAGTCCACTTGACTCTCTTTCCTTCTGGGTAGAGTGACAATCAAATGGAGAAAGCAAGTACTCCTTGGAGATGACATTCTGACTTGATGGATTTGACTTCTCCATAGCAGATCCTGGGCAAATGTCTTGTCTGCAAGCAGAGGTGAGTCGTAACTATAGGATTATCATGGGAATTAAATACAATGATGCAAGAAAAAGTATTTAACAAGATTAGTGTTGAGCACTCATTTCTCCACAGACTCCCATTCTTGAGAGCTTCAGGGCCCTAAAGGTAGATTAAATTAAAAGTAGATTAAGTTCTCAGGTGGAAAGGGTCTAGAAGGCGAACAGAAAGTCATTTCAAAAAAATAACTGTTTGGCTCCTAACACTATAGTCTTGTTCATTTCAACAATGTCCCTAATGAGACCAAATGAGTTCAAATACCCAGCTCATAATACATTCAAAGTAAACTGTGTATCCAACCCAACTCATGGCCTCCTGAATCAAAAATCTTTGCCTCCTAACTAAAGGGACGATTCAGAGTAGGCTGTCTAGAGTAACAAAGTGTCAGAGGTGAGGGACACTAGGAGCTCCTGTTACTCAGACCACAGCACAGTTGGGGTACGGAAGTGATGCTTTGGTGTGCAGCCATTTGGGATCAGGCTCTTCCAGGGGGCTCTTAGGCAAGTAGGTGAACAGAAACAAAAGAATGTGGAAGGCTCTGTGAGTTTATTGACAATCAAGTTTCGGGATATAAGTGGCATGTATTATTCTCATGCTGTTCCTTTGCCCCCACAGAACCATAGGGAAAACTGGAAAATGTATCCCACCAGTTTTCCTAGTGAGAAATTTGGTAAATATAGAGAATGGGTGGGAAGCCAGAAGTCCTAGGGAACAAATAAGGCTCTTAGGATACAAATGACTTTGCTCAGGGAAGTTGGAAGCAATCCAAAGAAAGATGTAGCTCAGCATAGAAGAAAAGATTAAATAAATAAATAAATAAATAAATAAATAATAAATAAATAAAGAGAAGGAGAAGAGTTAAGTGACTCACAAGACTGCAAATCAAAACCAAACAGTCGAGGCAAGTTTCCCCTTCAGGCTTGTGATGGTTTATCAGCCTGACAAGAATCTTGATGCCCCCTGGAAGACGGTCCTTTGATGTGCCTGTGAGAAATTATCTAGCCAACATTAATTGATGTGGGAAGATTCATCTTAATTGTAGTCAGGACCATTCCCTGAACTGAGAATCACAGACTATATAAAGGAGAGGGGGGGCAGAGAGAGAGAGAGAGAGAGAGAGAGAGAGAGAGAGAGAGAGCCCAGCACTATTAGTATGAGTGCAGCTGCTGTTCCCAGTTTACTGATTGTGTGCATGATGTGACCAGCTACTTCAAGCTCCTGCCGCCCTGACATCCCCACTGTGATGGACTGTACCCTGGAACTACGAGTCAGAATAATGCAACCACTCCTCCCTTAAACTACTTTGTCAGAGTATTTTACCTGGAACTTTTAGTATTATTTTACATATATGGATGTGTGTGTGTATGTGTGTATGTTTATGCACCATGTGCATGCAGCACTCACAGAGGCCAGAAGAGGACATTAGATCCCCTAGAGCTGGAGTTATCTTTGGTTGTGAGCTGTCATGTGGGTGCTGGGAATTGAACTCGACAGTCAGTGAGTGCTCTTAGTCCCTGAACCATCTCTCCAGTCTAAATAGAGTTGTCACAGCAACAGAAGACACTAAGACAGCATCCTACGCCCTACTATACTCTATGGCTATTCCATACTATAGGATCAAGTCTCTTTAATTCCTTCCTACACTTCTAATGTAAATTTTAATTCTTTTAGGCACATTCAGATGGAGACTGATAAGCATTTCCTAAATGTACAGCTTTCTGTCATTGTTAAGTAAATGTTCAGTCTAGTGTGGGGAGGGAGACACTCTCATTGGAAAGAGTTAACTGAAATTGCAGATCCAAATTAAATCCAAAGAAAGAAACTTAGAAATAACACATTTTGCGTCAACTCATATTTAACTAAATCTTCTTCAAATATAAGTACTATTGCTAAGATTATCAAGCCAATTGAAGACTCTCCACAATATGAAATTTTAGACTTCATTGCCAATCAAAATAAATTCAAATTCTGCAAATATGTACAAAGCTCTCATGCATCACATTTAGCTGTTCTACACAGTGACCCTGCATCTTCTTTCTTTCATGATCCCACTTCCCTGGTTTCTTTGACAGCAAAACTCTTCTAAAGAGTGCCCCATACTTACCATCTCTATGGCATTTTTCTCATCTATTTACCTCCTTCCCCATAAAAACAAGCCTTGGCAAGGTCACCCAATACCACTTTTCCAGACCAAGATCAGATTTTCAGCCCTCTTCGAACTGGGTAAATCAGTCACTCCCATCTCATGGAAACAGTTCCAGCAAGCACACCACACTCCCTTGGTTCTTCTGCCTTGTTGATTTATCCTGATTTTACTTTGAGGGTTTCTTCTCAATCCTTTGTCCTCCAAATATTGATGTCCCAGGTCTTAGACTTTTTTCTACTTTATTAACCACCCCTATTGATGTGATAACATTTCAAATATTAAATAGTGTCACTATAGTCTGATCATGTTTCACCCTTAGTCTCCATGGAGCAGCATTGGAAGGTGAGGTCTTTGGGGAGGTGTGTGTGCCTTGAGGGCTCTACCCTAGTGAATGGATGGACGGAGATTCCTCTACTGAAGGGTGTATGGGAGTGGCTGCTTGTTCTTGCCTTTCTAAACTCCAACACATGAAAATACTACAAGAAGGCCCTCACCAGGTGCCAGCACCTTACTACTGAATCTCCCAACCTCCAGAACTGTGAGCGTTAAAGCTCACACTCGAACCAAACATCCAAGTGTGTCGTGCTGTCCTAGAAGTGGAAAGTAAACTAAGACAGTCACCCACTCCGTCAATCACTCAGACTCATTGACGGCTCAGGGGCAGCTCCCTGCTAGATGTTTCCTGCCATTGATGTTCTGGAGAGTTCAGTTTTAATACATCCAAATGAGAGTCTGGATCCCCCAGTCACCTCAAACCTATACCTCCTCAAGGCTTCCTCATCCCAGGAAATTCCTAGTTAAGTCTCCCAATTCCTATCTAAAAACCTCTCTGCATCCCTCTACTTCCGGTAAATCTCCTAGCCAATTCTGTCATCTGTGTCTTAGAACCTTACTTCCAGAATGCAGCCCCGTCTCACCCACTCCACCTCTTTGAGCTCACGTCACCACTAACACTTTGCTGAACAGCTTTGTAAAGTCCTCCTGGCTTGAAGGCCTCACTCCTTCCACTATGGTCTCCTCTCCATGCAGCAAACCCAATTAAGTCCTAAGTTTAAGAAAGCTTGTAAGAACCAAGAAGGATGGATAATATCAAGGAAACAGTGTCTTACAGAAAGGAAAAATTAGTGTCTCCGAGGGAGTTCCAATGGATATATAAACCATACTGAAGGCCAGCCCTAAGCCCAACAGTAGACAGCTAACGCAAAACAAACTCGAAGGTGTTTGCCAAGATGCTTTGTCTCTTATTGCTTTGTTTGGGCATTTTTTTAACCTTACTGGTCCTTTGCTTGTATGTTATAGTTCCTTATTTTCTGTCTTTATAGTGTGTGTGTTGTGTGTTCTTCGTTTCTTTTTTCTTTGTTAGGTTGTTCGTTTTCTTTTCTTTTCTTGTATGTTCACCTCTATGGACATGGGTGAGCTTTTCTTTTTTTTTTCTTTTATCTTTCTTTTTTTTTGCTTCTTTTTAAACATTTTTTATTGATTTTTATTGAGCTCTACATTTTTCTCTGCTCCCCTCCCTGCCTCTCTCCTCCCCTGCAACCTTCTCCCAAGGTCCCCATGCTCCCAATTTACTCAGTAGAGCTTGTCTTTTTCTACTTCCCATGTAGATTAGATCCATGTTCATTTTGTTTTATTCTTGTTTGTTTCATTTGCCTGTTTCTCTTCTTAAGAGAGAGAGAAAGAAGGCATGGCGTTTGAAGGTGGGATGTTGGGGAGGAGCTAGGAAAAGATAAGGAAGGGGAAATTGTAATCACTATATAGTGCATAAAAATATTTTCCATTTAAAAAATGTAAAATTCCTAAGGAGTGTGATGTTCTCTACCTGTTTACTATTGCACCTGTAGCACCTGGCATACAGTGAGCCTGGGATAGATACGGAATGGATGCTGGTCTGTCATCTGCTGTAAATGGAAGACATCCAGTACACAAATCTTGAAATTCTATCCCCCTGAAGATGGATCAGAGCTTCCACTTACAGGATGGTGAGCCACGTGTGCTTCTCACCTAGTCTTCTTGCTGTGTGCGGCTAAGTTGCTGGTCATTGTTCATAAAGCAAGTGTGGGAGGATTCTGAGTGGTGGCGAAGAAAGGCGCCCAGCAAAGACTCAGAGGCCTAAAGAACAAGGTGACATTGAGCTCCTCGAGTTTTCTTTTTGCCTCCTCTTTCAAGAGCTAGAGCTGATGGTGCAAGCAAGCACGAGGCAGAACAACCAGAGACACAAAACACAATGGGAATCCTCCCTCTCCCTCTCCCCACCCCTCTCCACCTCCCTCTCCGGAGACCAGGAGAAAAATAGCCTGGAAAAATAGAAACTCATAAGAAATGGGTGCTCTACCATAAGGGAAAAAAATTTATCCCCACTCCCACCCACCAACAAAATTCAGAAAATCTCTTCCACTCCACGCCTGAGCTGGGAAAAGCACTTTAAGCCCTGTCAAGATGTCAGCGAGCACTAAGAGGGAGCCAACACTCTAGTGTTCCCATAGCCTCTCAGTGCAATGTGAGATCTGTGGGGAGTCTGTCCACCCAGACCCTAATCCTCCTCCTGGTCCAGGCGCTGTTTGGAGAAGGCTTAGGGAAGAGTGGGGCTATTCCCCACTTCCCAACCAAACTGAGGCTGCTCACTCCTACTCCCCAGAGTCAGGAGAGACTACTTAGGAGGAGAAAGAAAATACAACATTCCCAACCAGGCGGATGTCAGTGGAGGGCAAGTGTGAATCAGAGACCCCATCCCCAGCAACTGTAGCAAGGAGTTTTCACCGTCAGGTAACCTGTACTTCTGCCCACACCAGGCAGCAATGTGGTGATGCTCCCACATCCT